TATATATATATATATATATATATATATATATCTTTATTGATTTCAGAGAGAGAAAGGGAGAGGGAGAGAGAAACATCAATGATGAGAGAGTCATTGATCGGCTGCCTCCTGCATGCTCCCGACTGGGGATCGAGCCTGCAACCCGGGCATGTGCCCTAACAGGGAATCGAACCCCACTCTCCTGGATCACAGGTCAATGCTCAACTGCTGAGCCATGCCAGCTGGGCAGTGTTTCTTTTTGTAAAAATCAAGTTGTATGAGTTCTTTATATTTAAGAATATCAATAAGGAGAGGGAATTCTTTATGAAAACCTTCACATCAACCCTTCTTGAGACATCACTTCCTGGCTCATTTAAAATGGGTTTCAAATTATAAAAATCTTATCTACATATAGCTTTTTACCGTATAAAGTAAGATACATCTTTTCAAATTTTGTCTAAAGAACTGGCTATTAAGAGGAAAGCAATGTACTCAGGCCTATTCCAGGGCATATATAAAGAAGGCTGCAAGTATGCCTAGTGATAATATAAGGAGCTGTACATACATTCCTATTGATGGACATATTTACTGACTTTCTGATCTTTCCCAAGGCTCAGTGCACAGTAGGCAGTGATTACAGCTAAGCCACATACATGCGGCTAAAAGCAGATATGTTACACACACACACACGCACCCGCCACCCTTGCAGCAGTAGCCGAGAAAGAAGAAATGAGAGCTTGGGAATCATACCTGTTCCAGCTTCATCTCTTACCAATTATATGAACCCACACAAAGGTGCTTCACTTATTTCCTCATCTGTAAAATGGGGATGAAACCTATCCCATGGGGTTCTTACAAGTCTTAAATGAGAGAGGGGGAAAGCACTTCACACAGTGCCTAGTATGTAGTAGCAACTCAATAAACGCTGGCAGCTTTCTTCTTGGGAGCTACTTCTTAGAAAGCCCTTCCCTCCCCAATGCTGCCCTCCAGTGGACTAGGGTTCTCCTCCCCCTATGCAAGGTGGGTTCCACTTAAAACAGATCCAGTAGAGGAAAATCTAGATTTGAAAAACAGGTCATTTATTTCCCCACTTACCAAAAAGGTGGGGTATTTTTTTTTTTTAATTTTAGACTGGAAGATATTTCAATTCCAATTTGACTTACAGAAGTACAGTTGAGCCCGGCCAGGAGTGGCTCAGTGGTTGAGCATGGACCTAGGATCCAGGAGTTTGGGGTTCGATTCCCGGTCAGGGCACATGCCCGGGTTGCGGGCTAGGCAGCCGATCCATGACTCTCTCATCATTGATGTTTCTCTCTCTCTCTCTCCCCCTCCTTTCCTCTCTCTGAAGTCAATAAAGATATGTTTTTTTTAAAAAAAGTACAGTTGATTCACAGTTGTTCAGAAACTTGTTTCCTATCTAATTCTATCTTCCTTATTCACCTCTACTAATTTTTCCAAGAAAAAATTACCCTGACCCTCTTCTTCAACTCGGCCTTTCCCCCAGGCAATGCTCTAGTGTTTTACTCACCCACACAGTTGTCACAGATGCTGCAATGGGAGGCCCGGGGAGGCCGGAAGATCTTGCACGTATAACAGTATTTCAGCTTTACAATCTGGTTGTTTATCTGGAAATTCTTGATACGAGGGGGCGGTCGCTGGCCCTGGGGCACTGCACCATTGGTAGCTTCTGTAGATCAGTAAAGACAGTTGACATCACTGCTAGCCATCATTTGAACCCAAAGGTCTCACCATTTTTCCAAAAACAATGGGAGTAATCCAAGACTCCTTAGGCCCACTGTCTTCTCCAGACCAGCACTTCCTAACTAGACTCTCAACATCAGAGTGTCCCCTTCAAATTCCATTGCATGCCATGCAATTCTTTTGTGTGCATATGAAAAAGTGTTTCTTCAAGTTTTTGGCTGATTACAAATAAAAACACTCATAGAAGAAGAAATAAAATGCCTAAAAAACATAAAATGAAAACATCCAACTTCACTTATAATCAAAGAAATAAAAATTAACACAAAGATACCATTTCTATGTACTGTATTAATAAATATTAAAAAGAATGAAAATACCTAGTGCTGGCAAGGATGGGAGAAGGTATTTTTATACATTACCAGTAAGCAATGTGGCAGTAGCTACCATAATTTTAAATGTGTTTATTTTTTGACCCAGAAACCTTACTTCTAGGAAGTTATCAAAATTACAGAGATGTACAAAAGATGCTGACATAAGGATATTTGTCAAAGAGTTCCTTTTAATAGTGAAAATCTGAAAATAACCAATGTCACAACAGGAGGTTGGTTAAGTAAATTTTGATACATGCATAGGATGGAATATTGTACAGCCATTTAAAATGGTGTAGACAAGCCCAGCTGCCGTGGCTCAGTGGTTGAGCATCAACCTATGAACCAGGAGGTCATGGTTCGATTCCCAGTCAGGGAACATGCCCAGGTTGTGGTCTCATCATTGATGTCTGTCTGTCTGTCTGTCTGTCTGTCTCTCTCTCTCTCCCCCCCTCTCCCTCTCCCTCTCCCTCTCCCTTCCTCTCTCTCTGAAATCAATAAAAATACAGTTTAAATAAATAAATAAAATGGTGTTAACAAACAAATGACGACAGGAAAATATTCACAATATATTGCAAAATGAAAAAGTATAAAGGATATAATCTTGCAAAAATAAAATATATGCATGAAAAAAGGCTGTTAATACTTAGAATCAGAAGAACAATTATTTCAAAATAAGAGTGATACATGTTTATTGCAAAAATTTTGGAAAAAACAGAAAATATAAATAAGAAAAAATAAAGAGTGCCCTCGGCCGTCCTGGATCTGTCTCTTGCTTCAACAGTGTTTGGACGGAACAGACCCAGAGACGCCGCTTCTTCCAGCCTCCGACCGCCTTCCAACGTCTTCTCCAGTCACCACCTTTGGAACCACCTCAGTGGTCCTCAGGCTCCGAGACCAGCCAACACCGTTTTTCAACCTTAACTCCTTATTGCTGGGCAACCGTGAGCTCCCAAATTCGTCAGAATTACGCCACTGAGGTGGAGGCTGCCGCCAACCGCCTGGCCAACCTGCATCTGCGGGCCTCCTACACCTACCTCTCTCTGGGCTTCTATTTCGACCGCGACAATGTGGCTCTGGGGGGCTCTGGCCACTTCTTCCCCAAGTTGGCGGAGAAGCGCGAGGGCGCTGAGCATCTCTTAAGGATGCAAAACCAACGCGGTGGCCGCATCATCTTCCAGGACCTGATGAAGCCTTCCCAAGATGAGAGGGCAAAGCCCAGGATGCCATGGAAGCCGCCACGGCCTTGGAGAGGAACCTGACCCCGGCCCTTGTGGACCTGCAGGCCCTGGGTTCTACCCGTGCAGACACTCAGCTCTGTGATTCCTGCAGAACCGCTTCCTGGAGGAGGTGAAGCTCGTCAAGAAGATGGGCAACCACCTAACTCACCTCCGCAGCTGGTGCGCCCCAGGCTGGGCTGGGCGAGTATCTCTTCGAAAGGCTCCCCCTCAAGCACGACTAGGAGCATTGGAGCCCAGAGGCCTCTGAGGGGCCCCTCTGCAATCCCCTGGTGCCTGGCTTTTACCTGAGCCTCTCCCCCAAACCCCTACCCGTTTCTTTTAACCACCCTGGAGCCCTCTCCCATGCATTGGGCCAAATGGAAACAATAAAGCTTTTTGCAGCAAAAAAAGAAAAAGAAAAATCACTGACAGTCTCTCAGCTCAAGGATATTTGTGCATTTTGGTTTATTTCCTTTTACCTTCTCTTAACAGATAAACATGATTTTTTAAAATTTGAGATCATGTTATAAATGCAATGTTGGACCCTGTATTTTTCACTTTAAGATTATACAATAAACATTTCTTTCTACGATTGTTAATTTATTTTCTGAAAACATCATGATGGATAATACAATATTCCACCATATGCATATGCTTATTTATTTACTCCTTCTATATTGTTGGGCATTTAAGTTGCCTCTGGTTTTCCACTATTTAAAATAAATATCCTGCATGCAAAAACTTAACAATATTACAAATACAGCTAAATCCCCTTGATCACCACCCCAATCCCAATCCCCTCCTCCCTTCCTCAAGAATATATTCATGTGTTAAAATTAATTTCTAGCCCTAGCCAGTTTGGCTTAGTAGTTAGAGCATCAGCCCTTGGACTGAAGGGTCTCGGGTTCAATTCTGGTCGAGGGCACGTATCTCAGTTGCAAGGCCCGATCCCCGGCCCAGGGAGGCAACCAATCAATGTGTCTCTCTCGCATCAATGTTTCTCTTTCTCTCTCCCTCCCCTTCCACTCTCTCTGAAATGCAATGGAAAAATATCCTCAGGTGAGGATTTTTTTTTAAATTTCTAAAACATAAAAAAGAAAAGCATGTTGAATCTGAGCAGTAATATATGAAGTTGCCAGCATTAAAATAGCTAGGCCCATATTAAAAAGAAAAAAGGAAAAGAAAAAGCGATTCACTAAAAATCCTTCTACGGTAATTTGTGTAAATCTGTATCTATTTCCTTTAGCTAAACCCTGAGAGAAGTGGAATTACTGGGACAAAGGGTACGAACCCTTAAAGCCCATATTACTCTTGCCAAAGTGCTCCCCAAATTGATAGGTTTGCACGCCCGCCCATCTGCAGCACAAATTGATAGGTTTGCACGCCCGCCCATCTGCAGCACACGAGAGCGCTTGCCTTGTTGCACCCTCGCTATGTAGGATAATTCTAAAAACAGAATATTTTTTCAATTCATTTGGATTTTAAAAATATCTGCCATATGGAACTTTTCTCTCCTTTTTTGCGGAGCGGGGTGGATGCTGTGAAATCAAACAATAACAGTGTTTCACAGTCTTAAAAGGATGGGGATCGGATGGCTGTTCGTTAGCGGAGATGAGTACCAGCCACCTTAATGTCCCTTTGCAGGGGCTTTACATGGAGGCACCTGGAAGACAGAGTTCCCGGTTCACTCTCCCTGTGAAGCGCTATGACGCAAGGGAATCGCCGGTCTTCGTGCCTCTGCTCCCCCCACCCGCAGCATACCCAGCACAGAAAGTCCTCACTTAGCATCTTCCGCAGGCTCTGGGGTTTTAAGCGAAACAACATATAATGAAACCGATTATACCATAGGCTAATTAATACAAGCAAGAGTTAAGTTCCCCCAGCATCTCATCCATGCTATAATGAAACTATGTTGAATAAACCGATGTTTTTCGAGGCCCTGCTGTACAGGCCTGAACGCTGAATGTAAGTTGACAAAAACACACACAACCTGCTGGCATAAAAATAAACACCCGTATGCGTAAGAACTCAAGAACGCACTCTTCTATGGAGAGAATCATGCCAAATGCAGAAGTCACAAACGTGACCCCTCAAGCCTGGACCCCAGGCCCAGTGATCTGGCAAAACAGAGATAACCTTGCTAAGGAACCTGCTGGGGCATGCAGGAGACAAGTCACGGCAGTGCCCACACGTGAATGGAAAGTGAATGACAAAAGAATAACCCAGGTGGAGAAAAGACACAACCCTCCCTGCTGTCTTGCTCCTAACTGGGTCTCCACCAACTCCAGCTGTGCCAACACGCCTCACCTCTGCTTTCTTCCCACTATTCCCATCCTCACCCCACCCCTAAGGAGTTCGAGCTCAGATGTGCACAAACCTATGTACCCACAGCTCAACTAAAACACGAAAGTTTTCAAAAAGAAATTCACTCATAAGCTAGAGGGAAACACGGCTAAAATAAAGAAATACAAAAGTTTGGAGGCTTTCAAAGCACTCTAAAGGAGTATCAAATCAGCGTGCCGTCCACCTTAAACTTACACAATGTTATATGTCAATTATATCTCAACAGAGCTGGAGGGAAAGAAAAGAAATCAAGTGGACATGGGAGAACAAATTTCACTGAAAATAGCACGCATGTAAACATTAGGAATAAACTCAATATGGGAAGTACAGAAACTACATAAAGAAAACCATAAAAAATTAATTATTGGGAGTAAAATTCAATCTGAAAATATAAAAAGACATGCTATTTTTTTGGATAGGCAGGTAATATTATAATAATGTAAATTCTCTCAAAAATAACACATAAGTGTAATGTAAAACCTACTCGAACCCCCATAGGTTCGTGTTTTTAATTAAATAAAATATTAAAATGAGAAAACACACACACACCCTAAAAGAACTAAAGGCTAACCACAGTCGTGCTCAACTGGTGTAGCTTTTAGTCTTGTAAGTCCTGGGTCCTTTTCTTCTACTCTGTCGGGCTCAGATGCTGACTCAGGCTACTCGGGTACTGGACTTGAGAACAATTCAGGCAGGCACTGCTGTTGGGTCTGGTGGGCTCCTAGGCCCTAGAGAAGACTGGCATCACAGCCTTCTCTCCCAGCGTGAGCTCCCAGGATATCCCCTCCCTTAGTCCTGGGATGTTCTGCTTCAATTCAGGGAGCCAGTCCTACCTGAGCTGCAGACTGCTCTATAATGAACCTGTAACTACTTCCTTACCATACCTAGACTTCTCAATGGTTCCTGGCACCACAGCTGTTCCCTCTCACCTTGTGTGTTCTCCTAAAGCAGGAATTCTTGGTCATGGGCTCATGAATGTGCTTCAAAAGCTCTATGAGTCCCTGAAATTACATGCAAAATTGTATGCATGTGCGTGCATGTAAGAATATTTTTATGAAGAGAAGGTTTATAGCTTTCATGAAAAAAATCAAATGAGTTGACGACTCCCAAAGAGTAAACAAAAAACAAAAATCAAAACTAAAACCCATCCTCTTGGGAACAGTATAGAAGACCTTGGTAACAAATCCCTCCTGAAATGCAGCCCAACAGGGGAAACAAGGAAGTATATGACTTTCAAACCTTGCAGCACCTACCTTAGCAAATTCACAGAATGGGCATGATCTCAGATTCAGGATCTCAGAGGGAAAAGCCTAGAAGTGATTGTTCATCTGCGACCACTCTATGATTCCATTCCCTTACTAATTAGAGCCACCCACTGCATAGCGTGTTGCCAGCTGGTTAGAAAACCCACCTATCTCCATTTCTATGAAAGCTGCTTCATCTGGCAGGGCTCGAGGGATCACTCCAGGGTCACTGAAGCTGGTCCTCAACAGTGTAGCCATGGAGAAAAGGAAGAGCATGGCAGCAAACACAGGGATGGCAGGAGACAGCTGGACAGCCAAGTAACGGCATCTGGAGAAAGCAAGCAATTGAACATTTAGTTACACCTACCCTATATTGACCACGAATTGTTACCAGCATGTCAATCTGATCACGACAAAACAAGCAGTACCTGGAGGGCAGGGCCCATGCCTTTTTTTTTTTTTTTTTTAAATCCTCACCTGAGGATATTTTTTTCTTTGCTTTTCAGAGAGAGTGGGGCGGGGAGAGAGGAACATCAATGTGATAGAGACACATCGATTGGTTGCCTCCCACACGTGCCCCAACTGAGGCCAGGAATTGGATGGAGCTGGCAACCAAGATACATGCCCTTGGCCAGAATCGAACCTGGGACCCTTCAATTCACGGGCCGATGCTCTAACCACTGAACTGAATCAGCCAGGGCAGGGTCCATGCTTTTTACTTAACTCAAATCACCCCAAACTCCTAACATATGGTTCCCTACATAGCGGGAGCTCAACAAATATTTAATTGATTGAGGCCACCTATAACATACAGAAGACAGCCTCAAGGGACATCCCTTACCCCCAAAGCCCAGTCCCTCCTATCAGCCTACTGGAAGTCGCATTTCCTCTGTGCCTCAGGAAAGGCTCGCAACTGTTAAGGTCAGGGAAGCAACTGAGCCTGGACTTGCAAGCATCGCAGGTTGCTCTCACCCTGGGAATGTCTTGAGCTTTTCATACCCACCCATCTGGCATTGGGCCTGAGCTCCAGGAGGAGGAAGGAAATATGAGGACTAGTCATGAAGCAAGGCCCCAGTGTCAGACACAGAGTATGTTCAGCATAAAAAGCTTCAGGGCTGCTGGCTGACTTTGCAACATCCATTCCTCTTCTCTCCTCAATTAGCTCGGCTAGTAGGTAACGAGTGACCATAAGGAAATAAAATTGTTTCCCCTGAGCACCCCTTCCCAGCATCCTGTTTGCTCCCCTCTTTCTTCATAATCCCCCTAGAAGGCCATACCTCTTCCTCTCTGGATAGCCCAGCCCTACTCATCTGTCAGGTCCCAGAGACACCAATGCCATCATTGTCATCAAAACCATAATTTACTAAGCACTCACCCTATGCCAGGCGCTGCACGAAGCTCTTTATATGCATGATCTCACCCAATTCTCACACTAAATCTGTGAGGTTGAGTCCACTGTACCCATCTGACAGATAAAGAATCTGGGATTTAGAGAGGTCTTGCCTCCTCCGAAAGGCTTCTCCTAAGCCGCAATAATCTCTCCCTTCTCTATCCACGTCATCCTCACTGCCAGAGACTCCTGTTGTTTCCTGTTTTTTACTATGTTGACCTCATCTGCCCCAAATGGACTTCCTAAGAGCCAGAACCTTGTCTTTTTGGAGTAGGAATGCCTGGGTTTGAATTCTGGCTCTACCAGCTCCTAGTTGGGTTACTTGGTTAACTTCAGTCTCCTTATCTGTGAAGTGAGGATAATAATAGTATTCATGGGGTCTCTGGGTGGATCAGATGCATGAATATGAATAAAGTGCTGCCCGGCTGGGCGTGGCTCAGAAGTTGAGCATCAACCTAGGATCCAGGAGATGGAAGTTCGATTCCTGGTCAGGGCACATGCCCGGGTTGTGGGCTCGATCCCCAGTCGGGGACGTGCAGGAGGCAGCCGATCAATGGCTCTCTCTCATCATTGATGTTTCTGTCTCTCTCTCTCTGAAATCAATAAAGATATATTTTTTAAAAAACTAAATTAAAAAAAAGAGGAAAAAAGTGCTGAGAACTGCACTTGGCACACAGTAGATGCTAAGTAAATGTCAGCTATTAACATTATCATCGTGGTTCTGCATCTCTCAGAGCCAAACGCAAGTATGGGAATAAAGAAGCTATCAGCAAATACTTGTTGCGTCAAACTGAATTTCAAATCAAATAAATGGGAATATGCGGTGAGAGTTATCACTGACCTATTTCTATTCTCCTCCTGGCACATGTTCTCCTCCAACACGGAGATCTTCTCTTGGAGGCAGACTGTAAGTGGGTAAGCAAGGGCCAGAGGGAGAGTGGAGAAAGCAAGCTAAGGACAAAGGCTTACTTCATTGGCATGGGGATCAGGCAAGCTGCTGGCCACTCCGAGCAAGCGTTTAACCCCGGGTTGGACACTCGCTGCACTTTGGGAACAGTCGCCATGAGATCCTCTCCTCCCTGCCACACGCACGGCTCCATATGGGGTGCAGACCGCCTGTAATATTAGGCTGAGCCATTTGTCATGAGGGTGAGCATATGTAGGGAACTTGCCAAGTCACTTTTGTGGCTTTGTTTGTTTGCTCGCCTGCTTATTTGTTTTTAACAAAATCCTTGGCCGTAGCTCGCTTTTGTTTGATTTACTTCCCTCTAAACGCCAAAGGTGGAGGGAAATATTTAGAGAACTGAAGGATCTGGCTGAGTTCAGGGTAATTAAGGTCCTTGAGTACCACGAGCTTGTGGAATACCCTCTTTTCCGTTGTTCCCCCTCACTGGTACAGGTAATGAAGAAGTAAATTCAGAAATGAAAGTCACCTCCGCTGATCAGGGACCCAGAGGCCACAGGTGAAGCACAAGGCTCAGCTTCATGAACGAGCTGAGTGAAATCCCCGCACTAACAGAAATCAGCCATCTTCCGAAGATCATTATTGAAAACAAAGGAGTAATGCCTCCAGGACTCACACTGCCCTGGTGTACAGTCTCCAATCGAAAGCCTTAGAAAAATCAGAGCCATCTGATTGGACACCACAGGGAGTGTAAATTGCTTTATTACATGGAAAAGATAGAGAGTAGAACACACACACACACATACACAGATACACACATGCACACACACACACACACAAATTAATATTGCCCCTATGCACACAAGGACTCGCCCAAGCTTAACTAAGTCAGACAAAGAACAACTTAGATTTGAATTACGCTACGCCATCACGGATAAAGGTCTCTGTAATCTCCACACAGACTATCTTCTGCACCTGCTAAAACAATCCACTCTGTATGTCAACAAGTCCACAACAGGCCCATTGTATTGTCCTCCAGGGATGAGGCTACTGGCAGCCAGTTGTCGCTAGTGAGTGGGTGTGGCTGGGAAGGCAGATGTGGGACCAGCAGGCCTTTCTACTCCGAGTAAGAGGAAACTTAGAGAGCCAGCAGCTAAGACTGTTGTGAACTACAACCCATCGTGCCTGTCTTTAATAGTTATGATCAGAAATATTCCCCTAGGTTAGTCCCACCACTGCAGTAAGGTAGAGATCCATCTCTGACAGGAATAAACTATGTGAAGATTTCGTGGTAATTCCCAATACCGATCCCAAAAGTCAGAAGTATCCTCAATCACTAATTTGTCCTACTGAAAGACTGGGTATGTCATTCACAAATATAAGCTAACTGTTCTTGGAATAATGATATCCATACACTTCTGGAAACAGAACTCTCCTTTGTCTTCAAAGCACCAAAAGACCTTTCCCTCTCCAGGGAGTTAGAAATTGCTTTTCTCCCTTGTAAATTTCATATCTTCAACCCTGTCCCCACTAAGTCTTCATTTCTGCCACCTGAAGGGGCATCGTCATTTTAAGCCCTCAGGCTTCCATAGCTGGGCTAGATGACTGGACTCCCACATGTCCCACAGCCCACATGGTGGTACTGACCAGCAGTAACCAGCAGTGCCAGGCTGAGCTGGTGTGCCATGTACCATCCCCCATTCCTAGCATGCTAGTTCATTGGAGGGCCAATGATAATGACGTAGACTTCAATTCACATGAGAAAACTCAAAAGCGGTTCATGAGTGGAGCTGGCAAAAACCCAGAGTCGATGGCAGGGCTCTGCCGCACACTGATTATCTATACAATACCCTGCTTCTAAGTCTGCCCAATAGCTTTCTTGCTATGTTTTCTGTTGTTGCTCTTTAATCAGTACACTCAATCAACCAACAAGTATTTATGGGTCTAGCAAATGAAGAACAAGAGAAACAGGAGTTAATTTTGTTGGGGAAACCATAACTGACATATGGAACAGCAAAAGAATGAGATAAGGCCAATAATGACGTGTTAAGGGTGGCTGCTTGAAACTGCTCCCATAGCAGCTGTTAAGAGTGGCTTTAAGAAAGGGCTGTGCTTGGATCAGCAGGAAGCACTCGAGGATTAGAGAGCCCCACAATGGTCCTTAGTCCCACCTAATAGAAACAAGCCTTTGCCCTAGCCGGTTTGGCTCAGTGCTTAGAGTACTGGCCTGTGGACTGAAGGGTCTCGGGTTCAATTCGGGTCAAGGGCACATACCTCGGTTGCAGGCTCATCTGCGGCCCCAGTTGGGGGCATGTGCAGGAAGCAACCAATCAATGTTTCTCTCTCTCTCTCTCTCTCTCTCTCTCTCTCTCT